GCAAAATATTTTTGCAAAAAAATTCCTTAGTTTTGCAGTCCCAAAAAAAAAAAAAAAAAAAAAAAAGGATAAAGAAATAGCGGGGATGGAAAAAAAAAGGGACCCTCACCAGTGGCCGGGGCAATTCATAGGTTTGAGGGCGAAAATTTCCTTCTCCACCTCGAAGGAGAACATGTTTTCGCTGTAGTGCTGCCAGTGACCGGAGGTCTGCCACAGTTTGCTGTTGTAGATGTTGGGCGTCACCACCTCCTGGAAGCCCCTTTTCCGGTACTCACTCTGCCACGGGAAAAACAAGCCAAGCTTTGAATAGAACCTCATCAGGCGGAGTTTAGCCGATTGCCGGAATCAATTCATAAAGCAGATGAATCCAAATGAAACATTTTCTTGCCCTTTGAAAAACAATGATCAACATCGCCGGCTATTTTTCGGACATGTGAATCAAATCAGTCAGTGAATCATGATTTAAGTTTTCTTTGCGTAATTACGACACCTTCCGTTCGAAATCACGTGTGAATAAACAGATGTCAACGAAAACGTTTTTCTGAGCCAATTCATCGACGCGATACCGCCGACCGCCATGAACTCCCTTTTCGCGTCGACTCGGTTGAACTTCAAAGCGGCGCCCCTCAAACATGACCAAACTGGCTGCCCGGCCACGAATGAACTCACTTTTTGTCCAACGCGGACTCTGACTTACTCTGATGAACTCGATCAGGGTGTTGTAGATGAAGGCGCCTTTGGGCAGAAAGAAGCAACTGCCTGGACTCAGGTCGTGGAAAAAGAACAGGTCCTGTTCCTGAGGATGACACATTTGCATTTAGGTCAAACCGGATTTCATTTGGACCGACTCATCACGTGCTGGAATGAGGATTTGTCTTTCTAAGCTCACTTTTTTTTTTTCCCCGCAGCTTGGCTGAAATGAACTCAATCTGCCCTAGAAAGCGGCGGCGCTAGTAAACGGGACCTGATTGCTGCAGTCAGCTCAATTTATCATCACTCAAAGCTGAAAAGCGTTCAGGAGTAATTTTGGCTGGGCGAGGCAAAGAAAAAAAAAATAAAGAGACCTTGATACGTGGTCTACTTTGTGAGCGCCGTAAATTCATACCCGGCCCAGTTTGCGATGATCTCTGTTCTTGGCCTCTTCCTGAAACTTCTCCCACTCTTTCAGCATTTTGGGGTCTGGGAAGGAGATTCCATAGATCCTCTGGAGGGTCTCCATGTCCGCTTTTCCCTCCCAGTATGTGGACGAGCTCTGTGCGCCAAAAATACAAACATTCAGGATTATGGCCCAGATAGCCGCCCTTTCGTAATTCAAGACTTTTATTTCCTTACGTTGGAGTTTACTGGATTTATCAAGTTCAGATGAATTCAACAAATCGAAATGAATTGTGGCACGGCATTTCTGAACAAACCGTAACAGAACCCACGGAAGAGAGGTGGCTCACCTTGTGGATCTTAAGTGCTTTGATTTTTCCCGTGTGCCTCACATGTGGACCCCGACACAGATCGATTAGAGGGCCGCACCTGAAACGTCGGGAGGGTTGAGACGCAAAGAGCCGTCACCCACCGCGACAAACATTGACTCACCTGTAAACTGTCGTGGTGGGGGTGGTGACCTTCTCGTTCAATATGCGGCACTTGAACTTGTTGTACTGTCAAGACGAAGAGTGTCTGTTTAACGGCGAGCCGCCGCATAATCGCCGTTTGGCCTTTGCAGATTTCTTTTTTTTTTTTTTAAACATATCCTCTGTTATTTGCTGAACACCTTTGCCGTTTTTGTGCGCATTTATATATATAATTTTTTTGCCTGCCTTTGAGGTGTCCTATTTTCGTTGGTGGTCCTTGAATGCACCTCGCGCACTGTCAAAATCGAAACTGAACAGTACGTGGTCTACTTTGTTTGTGTTCCTTACGATTTGTTGTGTGCACATTGGAGCAAGTTAGTGGAATGACTTTCAGTTGCACAATTGCAGCCCACATTCGGTATTCGTTTGCGCTAACGTGTTCGGCTAATGAGCCTCAATTAAAGGTGGTTTGTTTCTGTTGAAGACGAAACGACTGAATACCACGAATCCGAGATTGTCTACGACGTGTGCGAGGTGTTGATGTTTTATGAATCTCTCCTTTTTGCCGCCATCTTGTGGCATCTACAAGCAACTGCAACCTCTTTTTGCACCAATTCTCGGCAGATTTCATCTTTTCGCAGCGGTCCCGATCCCGCACGAATAGCGAGGGTTCGCTCGGCTGATGTTCCTTTTGTGGAATACCTTGAACATTTCCAGCAGGGTTTCCTTTTTGATCTCCAGTCTCTCAAACGGCTGCTTCTCCTTGATGATTTTCTTGCACAAGCCCTCCAGACAAGGGAAGTCATTGCTCGACACCCCGCTGCACACAAATTCCACAAAGTAGAAATGCCAACACTGCATCTCGCATTGATATTCAAACTATCTCTAAAGCGCAGCTAAATTTAGTGCGCCGGCGTTTAAAGGGCATCCAAGTGTCAGCACCGTTGTGATTAGCGAAGGAACCTTTGAGAAATCTGGACTAATAGTGGAGAGTAATTGGCTGCGAGGGTCCTGCAATGTCAAAATCTCCTTCGTAAGACTCAGTCAGTCAGGAAGGCCATTAGCATAACATGACTTCATTAAGAGGGTTATGGAATTAATTAGACCGCGCTCTCCCGCAGCCCGGGAAAATTGCGGTGGAAAAAGGAAAGGAAGTTCATCTCCCGTCCACGCGATTCAAAAAGCTCAGCTCATCGACGAGCGTTTGGAGAAAGGTGAAGCCGCAGCCCGCGCCACTCACTCGTTGCCGTCGAGGAACATGTCGTAGTAGAAGCCGTTCTCGATGGGCGGGCCGTAGCACAGGCAGCCCCCGTACACTCGCTCCATGGCTTCGCCCAGGATATGAGCGCTGGAATGCCAGTAAACCTTCAAGGACATAGAAAAGTTGTCTTTTTTTTTTCTTCCACTTCCATAGCAACGTTTCTTAAACATTGATTTTTCGTTTCAGCTTACATAACAATGTGTGCTTTTTTTTTTTTTTTTTTAAACTGAATTGTTTGGAATTGATCCTCCCCTCCCCCCATAGAAACATTTCACTCTTTACTATCAATTGCCTTGTGACGGACTAGCACAACGGAAATGTCTTCCGAGACCAGGGCTGCCCAATATGTCGATCGCGATCGACGATGATTGACGGCTTTGGACTTACAGCTTGAGCTTCGTCATCGTCAAACTTGAGCAACTCGAGGCTGCAGTCGTCCTCCAAAGGCCGGTCCAGATCCCACACGTCTTTGTTCACCTTGGCGATCACAGTGTTGTCGGCCAGACCTTGACTAGATGCCACAGTGGGACATATTCATCAAATTCACGCCGCGACGTTGAGTTACGCTGACAAGTCCACTTTAAAGAGACGAGCGTAGTTCAAAAGTGCTCAGACGTGTCCAAAATAATAGTGCAGCATAGTAACAATAGTCAAGTTTGACAACACTGATAATATGCGTGGCGTTGCAAAGGCAGGGCTTCACAATGAAAAAGGAGCCTTCATGTGTATTCCGTGTTTATTTAGCACAAGTGGGAAACAACATATTTCCGCTCAAGCTTTGCCTTGAAGCCGAACAACCTTCTGTTGCTACTTTTTTTTTCCACCCCTGTATTGCCCAAAGAAGAAGTATGCCCAAGAAGTTAAAAAAAAAGACGAAGAGTTTCAACCACATTTCAAACTTTTACTCTGCAGAGGGAGCATTAAAACATCCACTCATGCTCGCGCGACTATTTTATTTTATTTTATTTTAATTTTTTTACCAGCCCACTGAATAGTTGACAGCATTTGCAAGCATACTGGTCACAGTCTCAAGGCCTCATCTATTTATCATTGCATTTGGCAGGGCCGCAGTGAATATTCCCCCATTTAGGTAGTTAAAAAAAGTAACCACAGTAAACTGACCTGATTCCACAGGCCACTTGGTAGGGCGTGGTCTTCCAAGACTCTGCGTCTACCACCTTCCCGTCCGGTAAGGTGACTTTAATGGGACGAGACTCTTTCGCGGCCCTCTCTGCCATGAGGGCATCATGCTCACCTTTGAGCTTAGCGTACAATGTCAGGCGCTCGTCGATGTACTCGGGTGCTGGTGAAAGCTGTGGGGGAAAAAAAACCCCAAACAAATACATTTCTAAGTGTATAAACTACTGATGTGCAGGACATGAAAACACGTTTTTGTTGCTCACCTCAGCTCTGCCTCCAGCATCTCCTGCATTATTTTTGACCTTCTTCTTTCCTCCATCTTTCCCATTGAATGCTCCCTCCTGTCCAAACATCAGACAGTGCAGGATATTAACTTGTGTTTACTCAATGCTACGTGCGTGTGCCAGAGTCTACTCCACATAATCGCAGTACCGAACCGCTAAACTATTGATTGACATCCCGAATGATGACAAGGGACGTGCTTGTTGACACATTACAAAGTTATGACAGTGAAATACTTTTGAAAACGTGCAAGTACAAGGGGAAACAAATCAAATGTGCCTTGCCGGCTACTTCCAGTTCAAGTTGACTGTTAAAAGGTACAACTTAAGCGAGGTTGTTGTAAGAAGCTTCCATAATCATATGCGCATTCCAGCGACATAAAAGTGGGAGTCGCGGAGTTTTTCACGAGAGCCGACACGTTAGCGGCGCATTGCTAGTCGTCGTCAATGTGAACAGAGCGGCGGCTAGGCTAAGCTAACCGGCTACATTGAATGAGCGTTGCTAGAAACGAAGGCGAAACGTTACCTTTTGACCTTCGGCCACGTTGAGTTGGCTCATTTTCTCCACGACAGGCAGTTCGGCCATAACAAGTGACAAACTGGCCCACTTTGAGCGACTTGTTCGCGGTTTAGCGAGCTGTTGGACTGTCACGACGAGTGGTGGTGACGGCTGATGACGTCACCCGGAAATCTGATGCAATATTTTATTCTTCTGAGGAGAAATTTCTTCTTCGTCTTTTTGCTATTTCATGATGCAACGTTGCACTCCTACATGTTTTAATTGAGTAACAACATGTTTAATTTTTCGAAGTTGTCATTTTTCTTTTTGATAAAAAGATGAACTGGTATTTTAAATATGTATTTTCCATATGTTCCATATTTTTTGTAACACACATTTATTCGATTTAGATTTCAGTTTATGTCTGTTTTTGTCACAAAAACTCACCGTTTACTGACCATTTGAAGTGATTCAGTCCAAGCCTTCTCGTGAAAAAAAATCTGAGGTCATTTAACAATGTTTTATGTTGACTATTTTCAGTGTTATTTAGCTGCATTGAATTTTTGAATAGAATAGAATTGGCCATTATTAGTCCAGCGACGGGGAACTTCAGGTTTACAACAGCAAAGTAGGATCATAGAATCAAAAATCAGGCAGTGATACTGAGCAGTCTTGTACATGGATACAAGGCAGTATATTCAGAAGTGGATGAGAACCGTGGCAAAACTGAGAATGTAGTCTGCCGCCGGTCTGTATCAGAAAAACTATAAATGCATATAGTCTATCTAAAAGCAGTTGAGATTAGGGGGTCACTAACATGGCGGCCCCCAAGGACCACTTGAGTAGCCTGTGAGCCTATTCTTAAAAAAACAACAACAACAACAACTGACCCAGTGACGGGATATTGCGATTTCCCTTCTAATGATGTGGAAATTATTTTTTGAAAATATAAACACCTTTAGAGCTTTATGATTTTTCCTACCTTGTGATTGAAATAAATGATAAATGAAATGAGAAATCCGATATAGGTATTGGCGCATTTAGGTAACCTTTCAGCAGTATTTTAGTTTAGGTAACTTCTGGGACTATTTCAGTTGATATCGGAATATTTAGGCAATTTAGGTAGGTTGAAAAGGAGTTGGAGCAATTTGGATAACATTTCAGTATGTTTTACACTCATATAACTTTTGTGACTTCAACCAGTTGATTTGCTAGTAATTACATAACTTTTGGGAGAGTTGGTGATTTACTTTTTGATACATGTAGTATGCACAAAGTATTATTTTGCAATTGAAATATGAACTTATGTGCTGTGTGTCTCAAGCTTTGGACTCTTTCATGATAGAAAGGGTTCTGTCAGTCGTCATCTGTACCTGTGGGTAAAAAACAAAAAACAAAAAACAAAACAAAAAAAAACAATCCATATTTTTTGTAACACACATTTATTCGATTTAGATTTCAGTTTATGTCTGTTTTTGTCACAAAAACTCACCGTTTACTGACCATTTGAAGTGATTCAGTCCAAGCCTTCTCGTGAAAAAAAATCTGAGGTCATTTAACAATGTTTTATGTTGACTATTTTCAGTGTTATTTAGCTGCATTGAATTTTTGAATAGAATAGAATTGGCCATTATTAGTCCAGCGACGGGGAACTTCAGGTTTACAACAGCAAAGTAGGATCATAGAATCAAAAATCAGGCAGTGATACTGAGCAGTCTTGTACATGGATACAAGGCAGTATATTCAGAAGTGGATGAGAACCGTGGCAAAACTGAGAATGTAGTCTGCCGCCGGTCTGTATCAGAAAAACTATAAATGCATATAGTCTATCTAAAAGGAGTTGAGATTAGGGGGTCACTAACATGGCAGCCCCCAAGGACCACTTGAGTAGCCTGTGAGCCTATTCCTAATAAAAAAAAAAAAAACAACAACAACTGACCCAGTGACGGGATATTGCGATGTGGAAATGATTATTTGAAAATATAAACATCTTCAGAGCTTTATGATTTTTTTCCTACCTTGTGATTGAAATAAATAATAAATGAAATGAGAAATCCGATATAGGTATTGGCGCATTTAGGTAACCTTTCAGCAGTATTTTAGTTTAGGTAACTTCTGGGACTATTTCAGTTGATATCGGAATATTTAGGCAATTTAGGTAGGTTGAAAATGAGTTCGGGCAATTTGGATAACATTTTAGTATGTTTTACACTCATATAACTTTTGGGACTTCAACCAGTTGATTTGCTAGTAATTACATAACTTTTGGGAGAGTTGGTGATTTAGTTTTTGATACATGTAGTATGCACAAAGTATTATTTTGCAATTGAAATATGAACTTATGTGCTGTGTGTCTCAAGCTTTGGACTCTTTCATGATATTTGTCAAAACGGGGAAAGTGAAACTAAAAACAATAATTCACAAAAGTGAATCGACATTTCTCACGTCGCACCGCCAAGGTGGTAATCCACAGAAGTGCTTCTTAAATACCGTCCAATAATCGCTTAAACCCTCCGACGAAAGCGAGTGCATCCGAATGAGATGGAGCCGCGCACGCCGTCAAGGAGCTCCCTCACAAGGAAGGCCTTAAATAAAACCAACAAAGAGCAGATGATTGCAATCATCCCGTTGATAGCCGGGTTGCTCCATTGGCAGCTGAGGTGATATTTGTCCTACATTTTCTTTCTTTTTTGGGCTCCAGACGACATGCACATTGCAGTTCATGTTCGACAGCAGTTTTTAAACTCCTGACACTCTCTGTGGGAATTAGTGGAGAAGATGAAGCGCACTGTGAGCTTCCATGCTGTTTTTTTTTTTGGAGGAGTGGGGAGGGGTGCTCAGAGGGAGAGAGGGAAGTGTTGAATAATTCACCTTCAAAAGCTGCAAAATAAATAAATAAATCAAACACGCACACAGAGCATGTTGATGCTCTGTCGAATCCTCGCCTCTGTTTTTGGCTTCAAAGTTTGCTTCAAAGCCTTGTCAGGCACTCAGCGGTTCTGATCCAAATGTATGGCAAAGACGATCTGCAACTCGAGATTGAAGAGAGGGATCGACTTTGATTTCAAGTCATCTCTGCTCCTGGTTATCGGCGCATGTTCCCTTGATTTTACATATGGCAGATCTTGTTCAGGGTTACAGCAGGGCGGACTGCGCTCACCTGTCAATCACTTTGTGATTGCAACGAACATGAGTGGCTCCTTTGTCAGTGATGCGAACCTCCAGCATGACTTTTGGGGCTTAATGGGAATGATGGAATAAATTAAGAAGTATTGAGATAGCACCTGGTGGTTAAAAAAATCTGTCTCGCAGTGGAGAGGTTGTGTTCCAATCCAAGTTGTTGCACTCTCGTTACTATTATTATTATTATTATTTTATTTATATTTTTTTATTATTTTTTTAATTTTATTTTTATTATTATTTATTTATTTATTACTCGTGACTTATTATTACTATTTTATTTCAGGAAAATTGATGCACTTCAAAACGTGTCTGTGACAGACTTAAAAAAACAGGACAGATAAAATTACGAATTGTTGTAAGCTGATCTACATATTCTTTTTCTCAATGTTTTCTTGTTTCTACGGGAGCCAAACAGAAATGATTTGCCACGGACTGAAATATGCCAAAAAGGAGTGAGATCCAAAAGAAAGGTTGAAGATGGTGTTTTGATGAGAATGGTTATTATTTATAGCAAAGACATTAAAACAAAAAAAAACTAGAGTGGGTCAAACCCTGTGAGTGTGGAATTATTTAGGGGAGTCCTGCTGTTGAGAGGATGTCACTTTGCATGTCTATAAATAAGTGAGCTTTCATTATTTGCAGCAACTTTGAATATTTTATATGACTTGTCCTGTAGGTGTCAGTAGAGAGGTTCTACTTTTTTATTTATTTTTTTTTTTTAACTACCTGCACTTTGCACTCGCCGTCACTTGCGCGTCACATCCATCACTGAAGTTTGGTGTTTGTCTCCGGAGGGAGCATCGCCTTGCGCCCGCCTCGTTCACTCCCCCGCGAGGAAATTGCACAGACGACAACACATGATGGGATTTGCTCCATCCAAACACTTCATGAATATTTGATCCTTCCTTTTTCTACATTCGCGTCGCTTCGGCGCATTATTAGACCATCGCTCACATCGGCCGTCTCCCACAAATCATTCTCTTGAATAACGCAGGGCACTCACCTGACTTATTCAACAATTTCTATCAATCTCACTCAAAAGAAGACCGTACGTTCATGATGCAAAAAAAAAAAAAAGGTTGCGCCGGCGAATTAATGGGGATCAAAAGGGAAGTGTGGAGCAGGGTTGCGTTCGGAAAGGATTTTACAGGCTCAACTCCAACCTGGGTTGCAATCAAGCGCATCTGAAAGCTTTCCTTACAAGCGAGTCCAAGGGCAGGCGCCGCCATGAAAAATCACTGGCCTTCAGCCGCCCTCCACGCTGGGAGACGATGACGGATGACAACGGGTCAGCCATGGTGGGGACGGGAGGGGGGCGGGGGGCAGCGTGCTACCGCTAGCACGTTGACAACCATCTGCTAAGAAGTCCATCACGAGACGTGTGACACCTCCTCCACTGGCTCGCGACAGCCGTGACATCATTGGCTGGGTAATGGACAATAGCCGCTGCGTAATGCGCACGCGTTTGCGTTTTCTGTCGTTCCCATTTTAACCAACCAATGATCTATTTTTGTAATGAAACGGTGCAAAGAATAGCAAATCAATTGAAGAAAGACAGAAAAAGGGCACACTGAAAGAAACAACCATCCCTGCTCACACACCTGGGGACAATTAAGAGTGTTCAATCAGCCTGCCATGCGTGTTTATGAAATGTGGGAGGAAACAGGAGTACCCGGAGAAAACCCACGCAGGCCCGGGGAGAACATGCAAACTCCACGCAGGGAGCCCGGAGCGGGAATTGAACCCAGTACCTCTGCACTCAACGCGCTAACCACTGCTGCCATGTATGTAATTATATCCCCCTCCACCCCCAAAAAATAGGTTCTATCAGATTAACGTACATTTTTTTTTTCAATGTAAATTGCAGGTGAAATAATCGCTGTTTATATTACAGAAGGCGTGCCTCCCCTACAGGAAGCGGCCATCATTTCGCCGCCATCTTTCTGCGATGGCTAACCGAAGGAGACAAACTTAGCGAAAGTAGTTCCTCAACAATCATGACTACAGC